TAATACAAAGGTTTTAGGTCAAATAGTCTAGATTTGAAGAAGAGACTTAATTTTCTTTTGCTTGAAACCCTGTATAAAGTCATTATTGTACAGTAAAAGGTTCCCCATTGTTTGCTTTGTAGACTATTCACTTAGAATATTTAAATTGCTGATAAGATTTGTATCAACTTCCGAATCTCCTCCAGGACACTTTAAGACAAACTCCTACTAGAATGTGAAACAAAGGTTTGTTTAGAGCTCTCTTCAACCCAGCTGTCAAGCTGCAGGCACTGTAGAAATAGTTGGAATATTTACATCAATCCATGTCATTGTCAGGGGTAATTCTCACTTTCGAGGAACAGCTCCCTTTTCTTTTGTGTGCATATGTGTGTGTGTTTCTGCTCACACATATAGAGCAGGAGATAATTAATTGATCATATTCTGCAATGTAAAGTATATCACTGTGATTAAAAGAGCTACTCTGATTAACGATTTTATAAGCTCTTGTATAATGTCCATAGTAAAAAGAGAAATGCAGCTGTTATTTCAGCAAGACACATCCATACCATTTTCTTCTGATAGATTGGCAGAGTTCAGAAGCTGAAAGGAGATGAGTATATGTAACATATTTGTTTGTTCATTGGGGTAAAAACCCTGTTTTCCCACAACCTTCCTAAGAAGGATCCAATAGTAACAGTACCTAGCAATAATAATAAAAATAGTAAGAAGTTAGAGTTGCACTTCTGCTGGAAATGTTCATACTTTGTTGTTCCTGGAAGATGGTAATAGAGCAGCATTCAGCTTTTGCTGTTGCAAAAAAAGAGGCAAGGGTGAAGACTTAGAAGATGCTCCAAGGTGTCTCATTAACATGTTTTGAAAATGCCAGTCAATTTGGTGCAGTTTGGTTTGTGTCAGAGGAGACAGATTTGCTCTGGAGAAGTATTATTATCAGAGGTATAAGTTACAAGACAGATTTATTTTAACTACATCTTGAGTGGTACAGATGTCACCGAAGATGGGATTATCCCAGCCTTTCCTTCAGCTGTGAAGATCTTACACAGTTACTACATTGCTTTCTCCACCTCACTAATTAAAATAAGGATTTTTAGCTGAGCTGAGTGTTTCGAGGTTTGCTGCCATACACTACATTGCACACTTTTGCACTACATCTTTGTCTTGTTGGGTTTTTTTCTTTCGCTCAATTGCTGGAGACAGGAGCTGACATAAATGAAATTTACTCTGAGTCAAAGGCTTTTGGATTTTTGTGTGTGTGTTTGTTTGTTTGAATGATTTGTGTGATAGAAAGTTTTTCATGCAAAATAGGATTTTTGTGGATCTGGTGGAAAAGGCTGTTGAGGTGCTGCTATGCCAGGTAAATTTATTGAATTATCTACTTGGAAAGACAATCTGATAAAAAGGAGGAAGTTGGGACTTCAGGGCCTATTTCGGCTGTGAATACATCTTCATTAAATGTATGGTTGTCCATTGTCTCTGGCTCAGAATGAAACCCTGGTCTAATTAACAAGATGAATCATTTCAGGAGTTTCCTGGTGTCATGGTGAGGGACAGGATGACATAAAATAGAGTCATATCTTTAGAGCTAATGCCAAATACCATGGTCTATTCCAGCCTGGAACTGATGACTGCCTCCCACTCCCTGTCTAAGCAGTGAATGCCTTGCTGTCACTTTGGGAAATGTGTCTGATGGTGCTGATGGTTCTTCTCACTGGGAAAAAAAAATCAGGCTGTTCTGGTCAGCAGCAATAGCTTCTTCTGAAGTAGGATTTTGCTGGCAAAAGTGATTCTTCTGCTGTAGACTGAGCAAACTTGTGACCACTTGATCCTGGAGAATCAACTGAAATTTGCCAAGCATGAGCCAGTCTTCTGCAGAAGAAAATTATTTTTTCTCAATTTGCTGTAGAGAAAACAGGCCAGGAGAAATACTGAATATGGCTGAGACAACACCTAGTTAAATTTAGGGGAAAGCACCACTCACTTCCACACCTTCCCCCTCCAAATTAGTGGGTGAGAGACTTAGAGATGAAGAAACTTTTTTTCATGGCCGAGCCTACGGCAGATCTGTGAGCTCCTCAGAAATCCCCTGAAAACAAATCTAAGACAGGAAGGGCTATTCTAAAAATAATTTGTAGTTTTATTTACACAATTTTTACAGCAGGTATTCACTGAGGTGCTGAAATTCTCTTTGGAATGACTGAAATTTGACTGCAACCCTCAATCTGAGTGTCCCTGCCTGCCCTACATACACAAAATGCATGTGCCAACATCTCTGCACCATCACCTTGTCTTATTTTATGTCATAAATCAGTGAATCTTATTGACTCAATTATTATGAGCTCAATCCTACAGTCAAACACCTGCTGAATTCCATGGGAATTTCACTGTGGAAGGATTACGAAAAAAGCTTTGTTACTGGCCTAGACCTGATCTGAACTCATGTACATTACTCTTACCAGTGAAGGCTTAACACCGTGGAGTTACAGAGAGATGTGATGGATCTTCCTTCCCCTCCCCAAGGAGAAGTGTTGTGTCTTGCAGTGTGTTTGTGACTCCGAGTTCCTTTAATCTCAAAACTGCATAACGCTGTCAAGATGTATGTTGTGATTGCAGCCTGGTGTGAGGACAGAGGGAAGTGCGAGGGGAGGCAGTCTGGGACAAGCCAAAGAAAGCCAATCATAGTGGATTGACTCTATTATAGAAAACAAAATTTTTCTTTATTAACTTGTGCTGATTTTTTGGGGGGGCGTTCCTGATTTCTTATGGGTAGAGATAAAAGTAACTGCTGTGAGCAATGTATTTTTGGTGGTAGAACCACATGTACCATGCGACTCACTTAGATTTACTCTGGTGGTTGCTGTTCTAAAATTAATTGAAATTAATTGATTTTTATTTTTTTTTCCATGCTAAGGTTAAATGTCAGAAATTCTAGAAATGCCAACCTGTGAATACAAACTTCTGCTGATGAGGAAAGAACTATCCAGGATTTTCTTTTAATGTTTTGCTGACATATGGTGCTTCTAACCCAGTGAAAAATTAATTGACTAAATGTAAAAGAGATGGACAGTGCTTAGCAAGGAAGGACAGGATATGCATTATAAGACATCTGGTTGGATTAGGGAGACAATATGCATTGGACAGCTAACGAGTCTCTGTTGCATAAGATAGATTCTCCTTATAATAGAATTGCACACTTTGTCTCTAAATGAGATTATTATACACACCATTGCACAATGTTTGAAGAGCTTACTTGGCCATTGTAGAGGGTTAGGAGAGAAAAAAATTGGAAAACAATTGTACATAAGACCTTCAATCCATCTACTGCTCCATATTTATCCAAATTACCATTACACTCTTCCAAAATACAAATCTGTGATACATTCAGGGGTGAAATGTTAATACTGACCAGTCAGATTTTGACAAGATGTATTTTTCTTTTGCTGTTGTTTTTACCTTGCAGTAAAATCTTACTTCCTCAGAAAGAAAAGCTGGTAGTGGAAACCACTTGTTGTGGCATAACAACTGTCTACTCAGAATGAATCATGAATTTAATTTTTGCCACTATGCAAAATTCAGTCTGTCTCTCAGGGGCTTTGATTTTTCCAGAGATAAACTATGCACAGCTTCATTTATAAGAAACTCTTCCTCAGTAATCTTCAGAGTTTAAGGACAATGCTTGTGAAAGTAATGTATGATTTCAAGTGATTCTGTTTTTGGGTCCCAGCTTGTGGCTGTTGTAGTGCATGGTTCTCAGAAAGTGATGAGGTTTAAAAACTCCAGACTCCTTATGCTCTTGAAGACTGGGCACCTAAAATTTTACATCTTCAAAATTGCAAGCCACTTCTGAAAATCCTGGCTTAACTATTGAGCAGGAGCAAATGTTGCAGTTCTAGATGACATGGAGGTACCATTTCCCACGTCAATGGAAGAATTCTGCAGTAAGAGTTGTAGATGGAGCTTAAAAAAAGACAGCTAAAAGGGTTTTTGTCAAACCCAGTGTAAATAATTGCCTATCCTACCTCCTTCTTGGCATTTTTGTCTTCCTCGGTTAAATCTTTTGTCTGCTAGTCTCCTTTTTAATTTTAGCTCTCCGGGTACCAGAAGAGGATGTGATCTTACTAAATAATGTTAAATAATAGTGATCTTAGTTTGACAGGGTAGATACTAAAACTATTGCAATGTGCAAATCTATGAAGGTGGCTTTGTTCACAGCTTTATTCCTCAGAGTGAAAATAAGTACATCCTCGAAACTGAAAGCTGAATTTCAGTACAGAGAGCTGTAAGTGGGTCCATGGTGTGGTTTCTGTTCAGGCATGACTATATCCAATTCCCACAAGTATTACTGTTCCAACATAAAGGAAGAGGAGACACATAATGAAATAAAATTACTTGGTGTATTTGTGCTAGTCATCGTTGTTGCTGTTTATACTTTCTTTCCCTTTCCCAGAGCCCCTGCAGTTAAACTGAAAGGTTACCTAAATATATATGTGTGTGTGTGTGTTTGTGTGTGTGTGCATGTGTACATGTGCCTTGCAGGATTTTCTTTGGAAGAAGTTATTCTTTTGTACAGTCCTTCTGTGACATTTCTATAGTCTGCTCACATCCTGTTGGGTGAAGCTACGATGCTTAATGTAAGGCAGTGTGGCTCATAAGAAGAAAGATTGCAATAAGCACAGTTGCTAGTCATTAATTTCCCAGCCCTGGATACTCTTCCGGTGACTGTTGTAGGTTCTCTGTGGTGGAATGTGCTCACTGATGACGGTGTTTAAGAGTATTTCATTCGTGGTTCAAAATAGCTGGATGTTTCTCTTAATGAGCTCTCCCATCGCTATCACAACAACTTTAAATACCTTATGGCTAGTGAGGAAAGGCTGACACACAGGCAGATTTGTTTCTCCACGTATCTTCCTGTTTGCATTCCAATTTCCAGTGAGATTGATTTCATCACAGGCTGTGCTGCTGCCTTCGTAGTTTTATAAGAGCTCTTCCTCTTGTCTTTTTGTTAGGAGAAGGAGAAACTGTATGTGGAGCTGAGGCAAGTCCTGGCCCGGCAGCCTGGGCCTGAAGCCACGGAACAGTTGCAGCACTACCGGCACAGTCTCCGGGAGAAGACTAAACAGCTCAAAGTAAGAGATGCCCTCTGCCTCTGGCTGAGGGGCTGCCAGCATTGCAGGGTGACTGCACCGGGGGAATGAGACTTCAGGAAGATTTTCAATGAACAGTGTGCCTGCCCTGGTAAATTAGATCAGGAAAAATAAGGTTAATACTGCAACTCCTCAAGGGAGAACCACTATCAGCAAGAGAACTTTTTTACACATTATGCTAGCTTGTTTCATTAAAATACTGGAAAAGTCTTATTAGGATACGAGTGTGCCACACAATGCTGTAAATTAGTTTTGTGCATGGGCATTCTGGGACACTGCCAGCTTTTCATTAAGCTTATTCTCCTTCACTTTTCTTAAACTGTTAAAATCTGTAAGAAGCAAATCAAAGCCATTTGGTTTTCTTTTTAACAAAGTAGTGGGAAATATATATATAAAAATATATAACCTAGTCTTAAATTATTGTTATTTGTCTTGCAACACATACACGTATATTAGATGTGCAGATTTTATGGGGATGACAGGAGGAACCTGTTCTAACCCCTTGTCAGTAGAAGGGAGGATTTCCTGGTTCCAAAAGAATTTTGTAGGAAATTTAAAAAGCATGGTCTTAAAAAGTGATTCTTTGACAGAATTCTGTGATATTCTATGAATAAGCTGATCTTCCCTTGTTCTTGCCTGCATGAGAGATCAGTCTCCCCAGGAGTTCACCTACTTACATGGCTTCTCTCTCCGTTGAAGTCATCATCTCCTGTTCACTGCATCATAATCACGTCTATACTAACCATGAGGAAAAAAATGCAGGAGCAGATGGGCCCTTAGGAAACAAAAGAGGCTGTTATGCAAATCTTAGCTTTCCACGGAGAAGAAAAACAATGTAGAAAATGTAAAATAGAAGCCAAAGTTTAGCTGAACTGAATGTGATTTGAAGTTTTCTATATGGGCCTTATTTGTCCTTAATGCAGTCAACTGCTACTGTGTATTTCAGGCACAGTATGCTGTAACGTGCTGGTGTGCATGACATTTTGGGGTGCCAGGTCAAGCTATTCTCCTTTTGAAAGAAAGAAAACACACTATGCATGCCCCTCTTTTCAAAAATTTAACTGATTTGCGTGGAAGTGGGATTGTATTAATATTTACACTACCTGGCGCTACCTTGCCTGTGTGGATTGAATTACTCCACTTAACAGTGGGTCCCGGTGAATAAACCCCATTATTGTCAAATAATTCCCTGATTTATTGTTTTTTAAGACCTTCATTTTGTGTTTTCACCCAGATTTATGTCTCAGAAATTAAGGGCTAGTGTATATATTATTACCATTCCCAAACCTGAAGCATATTTTACATGTTGTATCATGGCTAAATGGCATAACCTCAGTTTTGTAAGCTGTCCTTAAGTGAACAGAGGACAACAGAAATGAAATATAATAATGGAAAAAAAATTGTGGTAGAAAATGGTGATGTGTTACATCATCATATGTGAAAGGAGCAAGTGCTTGTAAAAATATTCACTTATGTGTAAGTGAAACTAACATCTCCTGTTTCTGCTGTTTGTCTTTTGTTTGTTAGGTTTTGTCCTCAGAACTGAATATGTATGAAGCACAGAGCAAAGAATACAAACGTGAAATTGAAAGACTTAACAATGAGCTTAACAATATGAAAAAGAAATATCTGGCTCAGAAACGCAAGGAGCAACAGAATAAGTATGGGAAAATAATAATTTTGTCTACACAACTTTCTGCATAAGCTAGATTTTTGTTTTTAGACCGTGCTTTACCCTTTTGATCAGAATGTGGTCAAATTTGACTGAGGTGATATAGTATTGTTGCCTAATTTTCCTGAATGCTATCCTTCATGTTACTTCAGTCTGGTGTACATTTACCATGATCTATGGCCAGGACAAGAACATCCAGCAGAGATGTTGCTGAACATGTTCTGCAGTCCAGTTGAATTATTCATACTGATGAGATGATACCCAGAGGACACAAATTAATGTCTGGTCTCTCACATCGAAGCGTAGAATTATAGAATAGTTTGGGTTGGAAGAGACATTTAAAGGCCGTGTAGTCCAAGCCCCCTGCAATTAGCAGGGACATCTTCAGCCGGATGAGGTTGCTCAGAGCCCCATCCAACCTGACCTTGAATGTTTCCAGGCATGGGGCATCCACCACCTCTCTGGGCAACATGTTCCAACATTGCACTACCCTCACAAAGGAAAATTTTCTCCTTATAGCTAGTCTAAATCTACCCTCCTTTAGGTTAAAAGCATTACCCCCTGTCCTCCTGCAATGGGCTTTCTGGGCTGCAGGCACACATTGCCAGCTCATGTCCAGCTTTTCATCCACCAGCACCCCCAAGTCCTTCTTGGCAGGGCTGCTCTCAACTTGTTCATCCCCCAGCCTGGGTTGATATGAAGGTTTGCCCTGACTCAGATGCAGCACCTTGCACTTGGCCTTGATATGAGATTCCCATGGGCTCACTTCTTGAGCTTGTTCAGGTCCCTCTGGATGGCATTCCATCCCTCAGGTGAGTCAACTGCACCACTCAGCTTTGTGTCACCTAAAAACTTGATGAGGGTGCTGAGGGTGGACTTTACTTTTAAAGAAAAATTTCATAGATTTCTGCAGTCAGATGACGTGATCTGTTACCAAGTTTTTCTGTATACACAGAAAGGCTTTTGTCTTTCCACCCATTTCCATCCTCAGCCTGTGCCTTCCTCACACAGTAAAGCCAACAGTTCTCTATGTGTCTGAATATAATTCAAAGTTGCCCGTATCTTTTTTCCTTAATCCTATTTCAGCCAACAAATGAATTTGATGACTAAGTTAGCAAAATAATCAGTGATAAACAGTGACTTTTGTCCATCTGCAAATTGCATAATGTTACCTTAATGTTTGGATTTAGCAACAATTGTGCCGTGCTAATGGCCTTCCTGGAGCTTTAGGATCAATATGTGAGGCTACCATAATGCCTGATAATCCATTTCCAGCAGCTAAGTGTCCTCTTCACAGTAGTTTTGATGTTTCCATTTTGGACCCTGGCATCATGTCTCTTTATGTTCATCAGATGAGGAGAAATTCACCCATGTTTTGTTGTTACATTTCATCTAGAACTAATTCCTACCATAAAAACTCCACTTGTTAGGGACACAACTGCTTTAAATTAAAAAAAAAAACATATTATGTGGGCTGATGATGACTCGACGGGGCATGTTAATCATATACAGTGGATGGAATTTCATGTTGCAGACAGTTAGTGCTGGATAGGTTCAGGGTAGATATCTGCCATTAGCACAGCTTGTCAAGTTGTTCTTGTGAGCAAATGTGTCTGTAGTCCCATGAGTATGGTGTCTTTGTGACATGTGTGTTTTGGAAGTACATTCAGATGCTGTTGGTGGTGCTTCTGGAGGATGGTATCATCTTATTGCCCCCACCACAGCTTAGAAGGCACCAGCACTGGCCTGCCAGCCCTGCCTTGCACTTCTCTTGTCTTGTGGCTGCTGAGAGGTGTCCAGATTCTGGACTTTGCTCTCCTCTGTCCCTCATTGTTTTGTTCCCTAGTTAAACCTGGTGGACTACATCCTGCTTTGAAGGACACAAAGGCTTAACTGGGAGTATCAGTCCTGGATAATTGCAACTTCTGCAGTCTTTAGGCTGTGCGTTGCGTTGGCCACCAGCAGTGCAGAGAAAACAAACCCTGTACAGCCTTTCTTCTCCAACCTTGCCAGTTGTGCAAGACACATTGTTTGCTTTCTGAGAGAGGGCCTGTTGTGCAGTCAGGTCCTTCCCCAGGGAGTCCTTCTCCCTGACATACAGCCATCCCACAGCTCAGGCAGTGCTGGACAGGCAGTGCCTGGTCTGTGGATGCCAAAGAGCCAGAGCCATTGGATTTGTACAGTCTCAGATTGCTCTAAATCCCAGCTGACACAAAACCACTGACTTGATCTCTATCTTGTTGGCTAATGTTAACATCATGTCTGAAATAAATGTAGCTGGTTTTGCTAATAGAAAGAGAATCCTGTCAGGACAGTAGCATTAACAGCATTATTGATTACCCTGCTATGAAAGAGAATTAATACTCTCAGATAACCTCACAAAAAGTTATCATCTAAAGCTTTTATTGATTTGCACAAGGTAGCTTTGATTTGTGATTTAAAGTCTTGGTACTGAACAAATGCAGCTTTCTGTGTGATGCTGAAGGAATATGAGTGACAGCAGGAATGTAGCTTTGTGTTCATAATGAAAATTCAATGTTTAGGATTTTAGTCGTGAATTTGAAATCCTCTTTTTCTGCTCTCTGATTCTGAATGTTGTCTTACCCAGTTGTCTTAGCCTTCCTTCTTCTATCCCCTCCTATTCTTTCCTTCTGCTTTTTGCACCCCTTCAGCATCACTACTTTTCCTAGTTGCTTCAAGTACCAGGATTCCATTTTGATCTTGATAAGGATCGATGAGAAAATATGAAGCTTAAATCCACACAGAGACGTGATCCAGCAGTCCTGTACATGTAAATAACTGCACTGAGGGATGTCAGTAGTAACTGGGAGCTTTTGCACGTGACTGCTTGCACATTAATTCTGCATAATATATTACAGTATTCAGTTGCATAGAATTTTCCATACTGATGAGCATGTCTGTTGGTTGTCTCCATGGGAGCGTGAAGAAAGAATGAGCATGGATTCTGGATCATTTTCTCTCCCCAAACTTGGAAGCCCAATAGTGAGATAGGATGAGCCATCTAAATACAGCACGTTAGTTTTTAGTGCTGTCAGCTGGCATATCCATTGATACATTGATACAATTAAAACCAATTATAAATGGTTTTCATGGTTACATTCTTCTGTGCCATCTTTTGGCTATTCTCCCACCTCTATATGGGTTGAATTTGGAAAAGGATGCATAACTAATCCTACAGGGTTTCTCTGAACTTTCTCCTTTCGTTGCAGTTATTTAGGGACAAAGACAAAAGTATTAATTCCAAGAAGTGTTTTCTTTTCCCTTACTGAGGACTGAAAAAAGGTACTAACAGTGTGGTTGCACTCACATTTGTGTCTCAATCTCAGTGACTGTGAAATAAAAGTAATGGCACTGACCTTCTTTGTAAAGCTTTGATATCTCTGCTGTTATGATAAACTACTACTTCATAAAGCTCCACTTGATTAATCTTAAATATCTTGAGACCTCTCTCTGAAGCATCCAGGTATATCACAGAGAGTTTGAAACACTGCCCTTCATATTTGTAGTGCTGTGGTTACCTCCCCAAGCACATAAGAGTGGAACCAGCTAACTCTTGTTCCCTCCTCTTAAGGCCATCAAATTCAAGACCTCCTGGATCCTCCTGGACGGAGCAACTTCCTGGGGCTATCAGTGCACCTGGAGCATACTGTTAGTTTTCTGCAAATGTCACAGACAGGGTAGTTATCACTGGAACTTTGTTAAAATGTGAAGTCAGATAACACTATATAGTCATTAAAAGTCAACAAAGAAAAAATACCTCCCTATTGCATCTTTTATGAAAGTAGCTAGTTGTTTGAAAACAGGTGTATTCTTGCTAGGATGAGATGGTGATTAGAAATCTGAAGTCATGGAGCTCACGTACAAGCTTGCTCTAATGAGGTGTTCTGACCATTTTGGGGAGTAGCACAAAGAAAGTTCATTTATTTCTAGTGTTTAATAATTCCAAAACCCATCAGCAGGCTTGTAATTAGATCCAAACAGACACCTAGTCTTGGTGGTTTAGCCTAAAAGGCTTTAATCAACATTTTTTTAATGATCTCTTGAGACGTGGTTGCATCAAAGAAACTCTGGAGGACACAGATTTCCTTAGTTTGTAAACATCTATGGGCTGCAGAATGAAATATGTATTTTCTGTTTCTTTGTTTCTATTTAAAGGGAGAAGGAGAGATCTTGCCCAGATACGAAGAGGAAATTACCCCCCCTCAGGCCTGATGATGAACCTCACTTCAACATAGGGGGCTTTCCTTTAACCAGACCCCTTCCCAAAATTGCAGCCTAAGAATCTACTCATCTAGTCACGTTCCCGTTCCCAGTTTTTTGCTAAACCTTATTTGTGGGTTATTCGAGAAACTGTAATTTTAAAAGAGATTCAGAATCTACTGAAATCACTGTATCACCTTCAGGAAAATTTTATAAATTGTATATCATAAAATGCATTTTTACATTGGAATTATATTTTATATTGCATTTATATTTTGTACTGCATATTATATTGCAATTAACATAGTTTTCTTTACAAACCATGGACCAAAGCTGCCCATTTGATGCCAGCAGAAGCCTGCAGTGATGTAAGTGAATAGTAGAGATATTTCTTTTTCAATATTATGCTTCTATTTAGCACTGTAACACTACCAAATGCCTTAATATGTAGTTATTTCTCTTTTATCTACCTCTGTTGTAAGCACTCATTCCATTTATCTTCTGACTCAAAGCACCTGAAAAAAAAGAAAACAGAAAAGAAGAAAAATTAATAGGCTGCTGTTTCAAGCCCTGCTGAGCAAATGCAAAATTAACAAGTCTTTACTTAGATGTACACATGTAGCAGTTCTTTGTGTAGGTAGTATATAATAGGGTTTAGGCAGTGTTTGCTGCAGTTGTTAGTAAGATCAAGGAAGTTTGTGGCCACAATGTACATTATTAAGAGCACAAGTGTGTTTACTCTGGTAGATACAAAGTGACATAATTATGTCTCTTCAACTGGGGAGACTGTGCACACTGAGTGGGACATGCTGTTCTCCACTTAAATCCTTCCAAGCGATTCAAACTTGGACTCAAAACATGGCAAACTTTATGCTTTAATTTCTAGACACTCAGGCATTTTTGTAACTTTCAGAAATTGTTTTTGTAATACAGCAGGAGCCCTCCAACCTTTTCAGCCAAAAGAGATTTAATTACCATTCATTAACAAGTGAAATAACAAAGTCACGGCGTGAGGTGCTGAAGTATAGAAAACTTTCGAGCTGTAAAATAAAATGTTTTGAAACTGATTTGTATGAGAAAGTTTTTTTTCCCCTGCCTGGGGGATAAAAATACTTGTCCAAAGAGATATGCTGATAAATATTTCACATGCACAAAAAAAACCCAAACCAAAACCAAAAAAATCAAAACAAAACCAAACCAAAAAACCCCTTTGCAAAGATTTTGTTCTTTCCTTTGGTGGAATACATAATTAAATATTAAAGCTACTGTGGGAAACTTTAATGGAAGTGTTTAATTCAAAGGAATCAAGTTAAATATGACAGGGATCTACTTTGCTTTTACACTGAGGACTGGAACACTTAGTCATCAGATCCATTGTATTTTTCTTTTGTTCCCAAAATAGCTATTATTGCTGTTTCACTGTCAAGTGCATTATGCTAAAGTTATCATTTTAGGACAGTCATGCTGTCTGAATCCTCTTCTGTGTACCTGACACGTCCTTACAGTTAGAATAACTGACAATAACTGACATGGGCACTTGAGTTTGGTGGAATCCCAAGTAGGTTTTACTGAAGCTTTTAGAAGCTGATATTTGTTAAGGTCCCGAGTATCCAACCTGGAGCTGGAGTCTGCTATGCTTACTGACACTGGAAAGTAATTTGTATTGAAATCAGTCATCAAAGCCACGTTTATTAATTCACATGAATGAGAGGCACAGGTAGACTCCCAGAATACCATCACTCTGTAGAAAGGCAACTTACGTATTACACTTTAAACTGTACAGTGTAGCCCTTAACTTATCCAGAGGTAATCCAAGTCTGTGTACATCTTTCACAGAATCACAGGGTAATTTAGGTTGGAAAAGACCTCCAGGATCATTGAGTCCAACCTTTGACTAAACACCACCATGTCAACTAGACCAGGCAGTTGTCCAGTGCCACGTCCAGTCATTTCTTGAACAGTTCCAGAGATGGTGACTCCACCACTTCCCTGGGCAGCCCATTCCAATGCTGACAACCCTTTCGGTGAAGAAATTCTTTCTGTTGTCCAACCTGAACCTTCCCTAGCACAGCTTGAGGCCCTTTCCTCTAGTCCTGTCACTGATTGCCTGGGAGAGGAGGGTCATCCCCATGTTGCTACAATCTCCTTTCAGGTAGTTGTAGAGGGTGATGAGGTCCCCCTGCATCTCATTTTCTCCAGGATAAACACTCCCAACTCCCTCAGGGACTCCTCGTATGATTTACTCTCTAGGCCCTTCCCCAGCTCCGTTGCCCTTCTCTGGACTCACTCCAGTGCCTCAATGTCCTTGTAGTGAAGGCCCCAGAACTGGACACAGCACTTGAGGTGTGGCCTCGCCAGCATGGCCTCACCAGTGGCCTCACTTTCTCTCTGTTTGTTATCAGGGTTTAGGAGACAAGTTATTACAGTGATCAGAGGCAAGGAGGGGAAGCCAAGCAGATGGAATCTGTTCCCTACTTGCATATATTTTTATGAGTATGCTAAAAAAACAGATTCTTTTCCATCTTTATCTGTACTTAATAGTAGCTTGCATTGCACGAGTAAGAAACTCCATCTGTAAGTGATTCCTGACCTTAGTTTTTTCAGTCTCTAAAATGTGTGGCATAGTATTTGTCTAAAGACTTGCAAAGGTGAATTCACTTATATTGAAAAAGTGATTAGTCTTCTAGACTGAATAAAAATGCAGGGGAGTGCAAAAAATTGTGATTTTCTCATATGACATGTTCTTCTAGACTAAAGAGCTGGGAAGGGAATACAGTAAATTCCACCTACAAAGTACAGAAGCTTTTACTTATTCATCCACAATTTCAGGCATCAAGATGTGAATGTGTTGGCAACTATCTCCAATTTTATTGCATTATTTACTTACTACCAGGGAAACTAAATTCACAGGTTAAATTCGAAAAGAAGAGAAAAAAAAGAAAAGGCAAGAAAATACAGTCATCAAATTATTGCCAGTAACTTCCAGCATAATGAGGAATAGAATAACTGCAGCCAGTTTAATTTATAGTGCTAGAGAGTGAAAACCATTTCTGAGTTCATATAATAGAACGGATTAAAGCACACCAAATCCCTTCCCCCATGGTCTATAAAAGTCAGGGAGCTTGAAAAATTGCTCTGGATGTCTGTGAACCCAGCTGATGCTGGGGTGCTTTTAGTGTTCAAGGATTTGGCTTGCGCAGCAGGGAAAGGCAGAGCATTAATGAGAATATCATTTGTTCAGTGGCTTCTGCATTGTGAGCAGCAGCTCTGAAGTGCTTCTCCAGGTTTTGTTGCAGAAAAATGTTAATTGAATTCCAGTTTGTGCAAGATGTAAGCCTAGAAGTAGCAAGTATATTTTTAACTTCTTATTCCTGTAAAGATAAGTGAAAAGATGGAGGTGAAGGGCTATGATCCATGGCACTTAAGTTAGGGGAAATCTTTCTTCGCTTTAATTGCTTTGGACTGGAGCTTGCACAGTAAATCCATCCTGGAGTCTTTCAGTGACCAAAGTATGTGATATTTTTCATTTTCAGAGCTCTTGCAATATGTAGATAATATTTTAAATAATTTCACATCTAACTTGAGCTCTGATCTCGTCTGGCAGGTCTGTATTCAGTGTATTACACAAGCAGGACACAAACAAGACGCTGTACACTGAGATATCAAGTTGAAATGTGGAAGCATGGCCCTTCTGTGATCACCTGCCAGCTACTAAAGACACAGCACAAGAATCCAGTCCTTAATTTATACTTGCTTTGTGAATTCTGAACAGCAGGAACACATACCACACAACCACTAACATGTCCTGCTGCTGTGAATGTGGGAACCCTTTGAGTCAACTGTCAAGTGAAGAACAGGACACAACTCAGGCCTTTTTGTGCTGAGATCTACAAACCCCAGGACTGAGGAGGCAGAGAGAAAGGTTGGGAACTTGGCACACGCAGACATTTCCCAGTACCACAGAGCACAGGCTTTACTGTGGGGGGAACAGCAGGTGCTGGGCCCTGGGGCACTAATGGACCTTAAGGACCCTGATCAGCTCCCCGCTGGGTGCCATTTAACAAGCTTGGCCCTGCAGCTGAGTTTCTGGTGGTCTCCTGTCCTTTAGGGAGCAGTTGGCTCTTGCTGCACCCTGACAGCAAGGCTTAGGAGCAACTTTAGTTCTCTAAGTACTGTCAAAGAGCAAACGGTCACAGGATGGAGAGGGATGGATCGCACAGGAGAGCAGTCAGTTGGTGTTGAAAGCCCAGGTGAAGAAGAGGAACGGTTTTCCTTCCAGCCCTTGTGGACAAAGAACAGCTACAGAGGTGTCCAGCGGCATGGCCCGGAGCACTGCCTGCAGGAGGGTTGCCAGTAATTGCACAAGTTCACAATGCCAGGTCTGGGGCAGCTATTTTATATCCTTATGTTAGGGTGAAACTGTTGTGTCCTAAAGAAGTTACAAGTTAGAGCAGAGAGAAACAGACCTTTGCCTTGTTCTCTGTCGCCCACGCGAGATTAACAGAAAACAAAATTAGCAGGGGTGTCAGAAAGAGAAGTTGAGCAGCAAAACCAGTGCCTGCCATCTCTGAAATGTTAATGACTCTTCCTGAAAATTGATCCATCCCAAATCTCTTTACCCACATTAGAGTATCTAAATCACGCATATTTGTATTTCGACACTTTAGCAACTGAGTATTATTTTCCTAGCAGGTGGTTTAGCTGTTGTGCCATCTCTTCTAGCCTAGTGTATTTTTAGTGTGTTTCCAAAAGCAGGCACTTGATTTTGTTGCTCTTTCTGTTCCCTACTTGAGTGCTTTGTAAGCAGCCCCACACAGATCAGCTACTTGTGCTGTTCAACGCACAGAAAGATGTCAGGATCTCATCTCTCGGGCTTGCTTGAGGAGCTCAGTTTTCCAAAGGGGAGGTGAAACTGTGCGTGTAGCACCTGTGGGTGTGAGTGGGCAGGGCAGGACCTGTAGGATAAGCTGCATGTGGCTGAGGCCAAAGCAGCTGCCTGCTCCTCTGCTAAGCCTTAACTTTAGCTTGCTTTCTCCTCAAATTGGAGCAACTATGTAGGTTTATGGAACCCATAGACTTTTTAGTATATCCCTCTACTGACCTCCGTGGGTTTATGTACCTCATCACAGGTGTATAGAGCCACTCAGACAAGCAGGAATGAGTGAGGCATTATTAGCACCAGGTTCAAACCAACTGAGCTAATTTCAGGGTCATGATGCAGTTTGGGGGTGGGTGT